CTGCTAACAGAAAATGTGGGCATATATTCACAAAACAGTGCAGCAATGAATTTTGGGCCCAGAAAGCAATATATCTGCTTTATATTGCTTCAATGCCAGATGAATTAGCTTAGTCTTCCCCTCACAGTCAGCTGTAAAGCACGGGTTCCAGACCTAGCCTGTGTGTTTCATGGTAAGGACTGCTGCCTCGTATGCTAGGTAAACCTACTTGAAGATGTCTTAAAGATTGCCTTGCAGAAATTTAGGTACCTGGGACTTCAAATCACAATTGCACAGAAATGTTAAGGTTTTGGAAACTCACAAACATTGGACTCGGTAGTCTAAATGACATTTGCATACCTACTTGCCTTTGTGAAATGCAGAATTATTATGGACAGGTCTGACTGAAATGTTTTTTTTAAGCATTGGAAACTGCTCGAAATCTTAGTCTTTCCAAAATAATTGGAACATACTAATACTGGGAGGATGATAATAGAAAGTATTTCTGACACAGGCAGATCCAGTGTGTAGTCCTCTCTTTGAGGATTACAGCCACACTACCCATACTTACGAAGGACTTTTTTGCTTAGGTATGTCTGCAGTAATTAGGAAAGGTTGAGTCCAAAATCACTGGACCACTTTGAACAGACTTAAGTGTGTGTTCTGAATCCAGATTAAACTTGTAAGAGTTATGTTTGAGAAAATCCATATATATAAACAAAAATGAATTACCATGGAGGTACTCATTACTTTGCAAATACTAGAAAAGCAATGCATTTCTTCTGATCAGGAATACTGTAGCTTAAGCAAAATCTACACTGCAGCAGTCTTAATGGGTTGAGGTTTGTTGTTTTTTTTTTTTGGTTTTCAGCACACAATATGGGTTAAGTTTCCTACTGATGAAATAGTGATGTACAGAGACCTTGAAATCAACTGCACGTTGTTAAAGGTCAGTAGATCCATGCACTGTCAACACTGTTGACTGTTCTTGCTTTTACTTGTGTATGTGGCAGCCTTTTCCAGTGACTGAAAGAATACATTGTTCTAGCCTAAAAAAACTAAATGAGGACCTCATCATGAGCATAAATCAACCTCTCTCTTGCTCCATATTTACCTCAAATCTATTTATTTCTTGAAAGAAGACTTATTTTCTGACAAATAGCATGTCCTGTTGCTGTCACATGCATACAGTGTGACACGTCATCATCCTTCCCATTTACAATAAAGCACTCTGGATTGCTCTTGTCAAGTGAACAGCCTGATGCATAGGAATATTGGAAGTTTGTTTTATTTGGCCTTACACAAGAGCAAAGTAATTATCTACTTGTGATTCCAGTAGTGAAGTTCATTTACCATTGACAAGAAAAGCTCAGTGTAAAAATTTGCTGTAATTGTTACAAAAAAAAAAATCTAAAAATTACATAAAGGGATATTTTGGGGCAATATTTCAGTCATATTAGTATTTTACGCCTTTAGCAGACAGGCATAAGACAGTTTCTGAAATGAAAAAGTACTCAAAGTAACACTACACATGAGTATGGTACTGTTGGAACAGCAAATTAAGCTGTTAAATAGTTGAAGATTGTATTTGATGATTCATTTGACTGAGCATGTACAAAATTTGAGGCATAATTTGAAGCTGGATGTTGGCTTCTTTCAAATTCTTTTGAACTTATGGCTTGCCTTTTATGATTATGTTTGTGACAATAGTGCCTAAAAACCAGTTGAACCAAAAGTTGTATCGACACATAGGAAGAGGCCTCCTGTATTCCGAAGAGTTATCACCTAAAGAAACGAGAGACACACAGGATAGGGGAAAAGGGTATAACAGGCAGCATGAATGGTGTGATGACAGCAAGGATCTCACACACCTCCACTATAGTGGTGCTGGTGTGTAAGTAATAAATGTCATAAATGTTTATAAATGCTATAAAAGGAAACAAAAGAGAGGGTGAGTAAGGAAGTATAGTGGAGGAGGTGGCATAAAAGCAGGTTTCATGAAACTGAATTTAAAAGCCTGGGAAGCTGGCATAGCTCAGACTTTTTAATTTATTTTTATGATTTTCATAGATGCTCTCACCAGCAAGTTCTTGGCTTGCTGGATTTTTTTTGCCAGTGCCACACATTCATTAGGAAAAAGTTAACAGAAGTACCACCTTGTATGCTGCTTGACACTAAATTGGAGTTTTTCCTCACACAGTACAGAGTGATGGGGCGGCCCTGCTGTGGCTAAGCTTCAGCCATTGCAAGGGAGTCCTTTCTACTTTAGTTGCTTCTGCAGCTAATGGCTGGAGCCACTATCCTAAGGTGCTGTGTTTTATTTTAGCTAGACACATACAGCATTTCCACTTTTGGGTTTCCAAAGATAACTCTTACATGAAGTTACCTTTTGGAAGCAAATACAAAGATAAATAGGGAGACCTGATACTAGGATCAAATTTCATGTGTATTCAGTGGCTTTTGCTACCAGCTCATCACTTGTAAGAATTAATTATCAATATAATTGCTAGATATGAATGTTCTTATATAGCTTTATTCTCACACCAGGAGTGTTGTCATCTAACTTAATCTGTGTTTTACTAAAAGGATCATTTATCCAGTCTGTTATTTAAGTTGCAGTGATTCTTTTCATCCAGTGCAGAAAAATAACCACTCCAAAAGAACAACAATGGTTCTCTCAGTTTAGCCTCATGCTTTGATACCAGTTTGACCTGACAAAGTCCTGATACAGTAATTCAAATATGGGATAAAGGTTCTGAAAAGTATTGCTTTCAGGAAAGCTTTCTCAACCAAGACAAGAAAATTACTTGTTGTCCCTAAGAGTGTGGGTTCCATTATGCTCATTATGCTTAGCTCATTGTGAACCCTTTCAGCTAGTACTCCAAAAGGAAGTTGAATGGGGTGAGTCATCGTAAAAAAACTCCTATTCATTCTGATTGCCAAATATAATGTAAACAAAGGATTTTAGTAAACATATGCATAATTTAATATTTTTCTGCAGGCCTGTGACTGTGAATAACATGAAGTGGCTTGCCACTAGCAAAATGAAAGAAAAGGCTCATGAGCACAAGAAGTGCTGAAAGACAGGATAAGCAAATGAGTATTTTATAATCTGACGGGCTGAAAAGCATCTGATGCATAACTGGAGGAGAATGGCTGCAGGGAATGGCCTGTGATGCTGTAACACCTTCAGCTCCATGTGTGTCAGAAAGAAATGCAGTTTGCAGTCCTGAAATATATGGCTTACTCAGTGCTGAAATGAGCTTCATTCATTACCTAGAGACCTCTTGAGCATGCAGCATGTATCCTCCGTTTTTCCGTTTTATAAGCAAGAAGGCGAAGAATGCTGGCAAAGTCCACCTGCATGTCATCACCTGTATCTGTCACATCCCCAAGAATCCACAGGAATACACTGAAATCTTTTGCTACAGTGTCATGGTTTAAACCATGTCAGCCACACAGTTTCTACTCTCCCTCCTCTTTCTTTCCTGCCCCCCCCCCCCCCCCCCCCCCCCGCAGGAATGGTGAGGAGAATCGAAAGAATGTTACCACCAGTAATAATAATGATAAGGGAAATAACAAGGGAAGAGAAAACAACCGCTCACCACCTGCCAACCGATACCCAGCCTGACCGAGCAGTGATCTAACCCTTCCAGGTAACTCCCCGCATTTTATATACTGGGCATGATGTGCTGTGGTATGGAATACCTCTTTGGCTAGTTTGGGTCAGGTGTCCTGTCTCTGCTTCCTCCCAGCTTCCCCTCCTCCCTGGCAGAGCATGAGACTCACAAAGTCCTATGGCCAGTCTAAACATTTGAGCAGTAACTAAAAACATCAGTGTTATCAGCTCTGTTCCCAGGCCGAAAGTCAAAAACACAGCGCAGCACCAGCTACTAAGAAGGAGAAAAAATGACTGCTACTGCTGAACCCAGGACATGCAGCCTGTGCAATTTTTTCAGACATCACCAAAAAGAAATATGATGAAGGTATCACATCTGCAGTTGTATGAATTTCAGCTCCCTGCATCATTTGATTAAAAATCCACAAAAAACCTTACACAGAGATGGTGAAGACGTAAGTGGAAGAGCTTGCCAGAAAGATTATGTAAAACTCTTGTCTTTCTTAGGCCAGTAAGCACAATCTCAGTATTTAGGTGACATATACACCTATCTGAAAGGGCACTGGTGGAAATTGAATGTAAGGTAACTTGGCATGTGACAGTAGTTTCCTCCGTTTTGAACTGGCCTCCAGTTACTGAATCTGGGAACCAAGAATTCAGAACTGGACAAAGAATATCAAAAAAGGTGATTTTATTTCAAAATAAAGGTGATTGCATTTAGAATTAATTTAAAATCCAAGTGTAATTTTTTTATTCAGCTTTCTTCAGCAGGTTCACATTTCCCACACTTACAAACTGAGTATGAACTAGTCAAACTGTTTATTCTCACTAGTCAAGCTACTTCATGTTTTGTAAGGGGAGACAGTAGATGTAGTAGAGATAAAATTTCTATTCCAAAACATTTTAGAGATGTTGAGGTATCAGGGTGATGGGTGACATATAAAAACCACTGTGCCAGCCTTAGTGAGGGGAATATATACATATTTTTCATCAAAATAAGGCTGTTGCCTTTTTGAACTCAAAGCGGCATTTTGGATCAACTGTTTGTGAAAATCCTTTCATTACACTTGGAAGAGTGTGTTTGGTGGGGTTGACAGAGTGTTTGCTGGATCTCTATCACACCCTGTGCCTATTCTGGGCAATCAGTCCATTGTGTCAGCATCAGTGTTCGTGTGTGAAACCTGAAAGCACCTAGATTAAAGAGCAAAATCCAGTATTGCTGTCATAGGACTCAAGAGTAAGTTTGTTCTAATTTAATATGCCTCTAATAAATTATGCACTTGAGTGCAGGGAGGTTTAACTAATATTTAACCTGAGTCTTCTGCATGACACAAGCCAAAGTATTTCAAAACAAAAATTGCACTGCGTGGATATATATAACATGTACATGATATGTAACAATTTCTTGAAAAGGTGTTCAGATTGTGTACTAATCATTGTATTCACTAGAGCAATAAAATTATACTTTTTCCAAAAACTATACATTGCAGCTTCCAGAAGATGACATATTGCTCAACACAAAATTCCATAATAATACACATTACGTGCCTTCAGTGACCTACATGATTCTGACTCCTACTGCTAGTGGCTGTAAATATTGAAAGATAATTTTCCTCAACTGATCAATGAATTAAAGGTTTTAGTCTCATGATTTAGACACTTATGATGTATTCATAATATACAAAAAAAGTAATATACCAAAAACAAATGCATTTGTTTGTGATGTTAGACCATACATGTAATAGATATAAGAGAAATAGCATTTATTTTTTATGTGTTGCAAGTTTGGAGAGATGTTCTTTGATACTGAGTTTCTGTGGGTAAGTTTTATGGGGCAGACAAAAGACATGGATCTCTGACCCCAAAATAACATGCAATTCACAGCCTCTCTTGTGTTCACAGTTGAGAAGAGACTGCCCATTACATGTAAGTATAGGCTGGCAGTAACTTGGATACTGAAAATTTTGGTAGGTAAAAAGTGATGTACAGTAACAATGAGAGAATTCTGTCTTCTCGTTTACTCTGCAGGTTAAATGTATGTTTGCCACCAATACTGTGTGATAGTGGTTGCAAAGATACTTAGAAGTATCACCAGAGAAGCCAGTTTGTTTCTGAGGATCAGAAGAAAAAAATTCTTCGGTTGTGGGACTCCTGGTAGTGTTCCTGATAGTGTTCCTGAGGCTGTTTTGGTGTATGCATGGGAGAAAAGCATGGCTAGGGCATATGTATGATTATGGTGATACTGCAGGAGTTCAAGCTTTCAACAATCATATCAAAAAGAAGACTGGAAAGTGAGTGTCATTTGGTAACTCTGTTTGACACATAGGCTTTTTTTAGTCTGTGATATTCTTTCAACAAAATTTGACAATTTGCCTTTTTGATAGAGGACCTGGTTAACTCACTTCTCAAGGACAGTAGATATTTCCCATTGGACTTCACTGCTTGTGTAGGGTGGGGACCAGCTTTATAGGTGGCACACAAGACCCAGTGCCCCCAGGTTTGTGAATAGGTGAGGAGACCCAGCAATATAAGGTTAGCTTGGGGGAAATTTTCTGTTATTCCTATAAGCTACATTTTAAGGATTCAGTCAGTGACGCAGACTACACAAGTATATTTTATAGGGAATCTGGGATGGTTTGAGAAATTCCTGGAACACCTCTGCTCGCCTTAAGTAAATTGGTGCAGTCATATTTGACTGTAATGCAGTAGATGCAGCTGTGTGTAAGAGGGTGTTTTTTTATCTTTCTTACCATCTGAATACATGTGAAAATGGTCCATGTGAATTTCATATTTTTCATAGGCACTTTACTAATGAGAAATGTTGTTTCACTTGTTAGAGCTCATAAGAGAACTTGCTGCTTTTGGGGATGATGTGAGTGAGGAGAGGTGTTGGGAAGACAGACTCATCTTCTCTGCGTAAGTGATTTGTTGCTGCCAGTTTGTGCCATCGAATCATGCTGGAATCAGGAAGAGATGACTTAGCTCACTATGTGGCAATGATGAGTCGATTCTAAAGCTTGGTGTTAGGAAATGACATCACAGAAATATTTCTCAATTACAGCTAAATACACAGTTTTGCAGCCATGATCGATAACATCTTGTGAAAAACCTTCAGTGGGAAAGAAGTGGGCTATCTTTGCATCTCTGGGGATGTTAAATCCTGAGAAAATGAATCATGATAAGTTGTTGAGGTTTTGCCATTAAGGAAATGCAAGCAAAATTCAGTAAAGATTTTTTTTTTTTTAAGCCATGTGTTTACAGCACAATACACTGTACAGGGTTAGAGATGCTGACCTTGCTATATACTTGAGATTGTATAGAAAGACAGAGGCATTAAGTCATGTGTTAGTAGCCTGAGGATCTTTGCACAGTATCCTGTGGAGTGAGCACACCGTAAAGGGAATTCAGGCAGAGATCCTGACTCTAAGCAAATTCAAAAACAGTAAACCTGAAGACTCATGCTGAGGTGATGCTTACAGTCTTACTTGAAAGCTCCCAAGCTGTAGGCCTGCTTACAGGCAGGATACTTGCTTTGTAGAAGGGAGTCCTCAGTTCCCTCTCTTCCTGCATTCAAGACTGTTTCCATGCTTTACATTAAGCAGTCACTGGATAAAACACAGGACTAAAGGTGAAAGTGCACAACCTACCAAGTAAAAGCTTACACTGGTATCATGGTTTATGCAGCTGCATGATCTCAAAGTTTATGGCACTTTTTGCTTCTGCAGTTAACCATAACAAATGTTAACACAATGCAAATCTACCCTGGTATTAAAGTAAGGACTAGTATTTTGACTTGAAACTGGCAGAGTAATCAGGTACTTTTTATTTTATTCAATGGAGATTCCCCAGAATCTAGGAAAAAAAAAATCTAATAAAAAGACAAAAGGCAAGATTTCATTTGATATGAAGGTAAGATTTCATTTGATATTAAAATACACAATGAAGCCCATCCGTGCTGATAATTTAATTTACTGGAGACCACTGTGTAGGTCAGTCATGGTTTAATTTTCATATACTAATCATAAATTCACTGGCATAGCCTCTGTCTTATATCATAATACCTGCTAAATTAATTTCCCATCCTTCTTTAATTTAAAGTTAATCCCCTACTTATCCTACGTATTCTAAGAGTCTATGATGCTTATAGAAACCATGTTTATATTACACACACAACAGTGCTTTTAAATTTATAGCATGTGTATTTATGTTATATATAATCAAGTAAAACTTAAGGTGTACAAATCCTAAAATAACTCAAGCTGTTTTACATTGCCTTAAAGTATTAGAACCATACAATAAAGGTCATGATATCTAATCATGAGATAACGATCATACTCTAAAAGACTATCATTGAGAGAGGAAATTACCTTAATCTGTAATGCTTTAGTTGACCACTAGCTTGAATAACAATCCGCACAAGGCTATAGACAATACTGTGTCCTGGGTACACATCAGAGGTTACAGATACCATGATAGCTGCTGGAAATAAGCAATAGCAATCATGGCAACTCTGTAACTTCTAATTTATTATTAAATGTGTATATCTCAGTGGTATTCAGAGATTCAGACAGTGGAATGACCATGCTTTCCAGATGTCTCTAGATGTTTACCTTTCAAGGGGACAAAATGTGACAAATGATATAGGAGTAAAGATACAAACCAGTTAAAGTATATTTTGCACTAAAGCAATAGTATTGTACTGAAAGTATTGTAAAAAGATAAAAGAACAAAGCTTCAAATCAGGCTTAGTTTATGCAAATTTTCTACGTATTTATTCCAGCAAGAATTATAATCACTTGGTTGTATCAAAATTAAGTCCTGATATAGTAAAGCACAGCTGTGGAAAACTGAGATTTACAGCTCTGAATGTCTGCTTACATCTGTGGTGAATTTGTTCTGTTGCCCTTATGTTATCTTAGTTATGTTATCTTAATAATGACTGCCACATCCTGAGAACTCGTTATTGTACCATTAGTTTGGCATGGGATCACCCACATCTGCCACAACACAGAAATATCCACAAAATAAATGCTTGCCATAGTAATTCAAAACTAAAGTATTTGCTGATGCTTTGTTGCCATATTATATATTCACTTTTTCATGTTCTCTTTCCATAAACAATTGACACTGATAATCTCTTCATTTCCTCCTTCCCTTTATTTTTTTTCTGTACACTGGTGTTTTTTTTTTAATAAAATAAGCAACCACAGATGTGTGTGGGACAACTCTTTCATTAACAGGTATGATTTAAAAAAAAAAAAAAAAAATTAAAAAACTTGCTGCCTGCAGACAAAACTCAAAACTGAGTTTTATGAAGTCCCCCATAACATTTCACGGATTTCCTTCTGTGTTTGAGTTCAAATCTCTCTGATGAGCACCCCTGTGTTTCTCTACCACGAAAAGGATGTCTCTTTTAGAACTGAGCAACACTTTGAATTCGTAAGTGGATTTTTGAAGGCCTGGTATTCCTCCCCTATAGAAAGAAGAAAAAGTCACTGAAAAGCTGTAAAGAGCTTTCCTGATGTGTTTGCTTTCATAGCTTTCTTTTGGTTTTAATGGGATGGGAATTTGAAGGAAGGTACAAACAGCACAGGAACAGAGAGGGTGACAGGGAAGCTACCCAAGGGGTGGAAGAAGGTATTAGCAAGGTTAGCCAAATTTTCTGCTCTAATTGCACAAAAAAGCTGGTGAGGCTGCAAATTTTAGACTTGGACTGAGAATAAGGATACTCTGTACTCCTTGTCTCCTGAGGACTAACTGAGGGCTAACTGGCCATCCAACAGAAGGAGCTAAAGCTGAACAAAATAATTATTTGGAGTTACTGACCTATCACATTGATATTCTTGAGTCAGTAAAATTCCTTTTGTGATTCATGAGCTGAACCTATTTTTTCACCAAGCCTAGGGAATTGAGTGCCTGCTTCAGAATGGGGTGAAATTATGATGTTTACTGAGGTAGTAAACAGTTTGCTTACTAAATACTCTTGCAACACCTCTGTCACATCCCCACACCTATTTTGCACACTGCTTTCTCCTTTCCAGAGCGAAGAATTGCTGTGAAAGGGAGATGGGACACCTTCCACTACACCAGGCTACTCAAAGCCCCATCCGACCTGTTCTTGAGCACTTCCAGATGTGAATAACCATCTGTGCCGATGCCAACATCATCTTTCTGTTGAACACTCAAAGCTAGAAATGAACGCGTGGTGTAGGTTGGTGTCAGAACAGCTCTTTGTAGATGGTTCTGCAATTGATAACTGTTATTTGTGGTGTGTAGCTATGAGGAAACTGAATTTGATCATGCAGATAGAATTTTTTCAGTATTAAATTCTAGCCAGGGAACTACTTTACCTTGGGTTTTTATTTACACCCACGCCCATAATCTGATACAGAAGTGGTTGGGATTTTTAGGTCAGTGCATAGCCATGCTGACAGAATTTCTATTACACTTCTGTATAAAAATCAGTTCTTGTGGATATGACTGCAGAACAAGTGGCACACACTGTAAATGCCAAGGAAGGGGTAGCCGCCTTGTCTCAGTTCTGTCATGTACCTATGTAAATAAATTTTACTAATGATGGGGAGGGAGCTGGAACTCTCAAATAATTTGAGAATTCAAGCGAAGACCGAGAAGAAACCTTCTTGATATGCATTTCTGTTTTTCTCATTGGAAAGAAGAAGTAAAAGCAAGCAACATTTTTTTTGGAATTACATTCATATTTATTCTTGAAAATTTAACCAAAAAGCAGATGAAGCTAAAAGCACTTTTTCGGTGGACAAACATGACTTAATCCTTTGCTTATTCTCGTAACTGGAATTGTCAGTTTGCATGCGAGATCTCTGTTAGTTATAATTCAGGGAGAAAATAATGATTTTTTTTTTTTCTCTTAGTTTTCATTTCTCCATTTTGTGCCATATAGGAACTACTCCTCTTGCTTAACACTTAAGTATTGATCAACTTCAGAATAGACAGAACTGAGTTTTAGCAAAAAGCCTCTGAACAATGTCAAGCTGTCATGTTAAGCAGCTGTGCCAGAAAACAGCAGTTAAGTGTTTCAACAAGAAAATAATTAAATTACTCCTTCAGTGGACAAAGCTGATGTGAACAAAACATAGTTAATGGTTGACAATATAAATTTTTAACCCTTCTGATTTTTTCTTTCAGAAATACCACTGGGAAGGCAAAAGGCATTGAAAGAAAGGGATTAAAATAATGTGAGCTATTATGGCCTAAATGGGTTCCTCACTGGATATCACTGACCTCTTTCTATTTCACTGAACTGCTTTACTGTAAAGAAGAAGGTAGTATTTGCAGAGAGATTTCCTGTAGCTCTTTAAAAATTTTATGACTGCCCATGCAGTCCTTGTTATGCATTCCTATGACTAATGAATCAGCTGTAGGGACGTTCTTGGTGTTTCATATCCTGACCTTTCGACTGTTAGAATTGTGTAAGAATAAAGAAAAATTGTAGTAACATAGCCGATAAGCATGTTTCGCCTAAGTGTTGCTTCCATTATTCTTCATTTTTAATTCCACTGAAAGAATAAATGTGAAATTGGGTGGTCAGGGGGTATTTCTAGCAGCCAATCATGAAGTGGTCTTTGGCTTCTCAGTTACTGTAGAGTGTGGGGCTTTATGCTGATAATTTACTGTTTATCACTGCATACAGTAAAACAACATAATATTTGTGGATACTTGGCCACTAATTCCTTCCAATATCCTGGTACTTAAACCACTAGTATTCATCATAACTATGAGTCCTTGATTTATTAAGCATTATAATACTTCATTTCAAAGCCCATGGCCTTACATAAAAGCTTATTATTTTCTATTTCATATTCATCCTGAAATTTGTATAGGGTAGTATAACTTAACATATGCCACTATTTACCTTAGTTCATGTGTTGATTGTAGCCACCAGATAACCCATACTCTGCTTGTTCACTAAAGAACGTTTATCCTGACTGTAACTCTATGCTGTTTCTTCAAAGCAACCAGTATTTCCAATAGTCTTCTGCTTTTATTTTGTTTCACAGACTGAAATTAACAGACTGAAAACAGAATTACAAGTCCCAAAAAAACAAAAATGTGAATGCTGTAACCATTCATTTGGCCAAGGTTTTACCTTCCTTTTTCCTGTAAGAGTCCACCTGCTTACTTGTGTAGGTAAATTGACTTTTCCCAGCTTCTTACTCTTAAACCTACAGAGCAGGTTAAGACCTGAGGGAAAGACCAAGCATTCCATCTTGTTTCCCCAATTTACAGAGGTGTAGGCAAAGTGATCTGTGGAGTCTTCCTCATTAGCAGTGAAGCAATCCCAGTAAGAACCCATCTTAGGCAGCAGACTGAGCTTGCAGGGCTGGCAGTATAAGCAAAAACAGAAACATCATTTGAAATAGAACCCAAAGTAAAAACTGAACAGTGGTGACAGTTTCTAAGATAGTTGTCATCTGAGCCAAATTTAACAGCAACTCTTCACTGACCATACGAAATGACAGCATATCAAAGGCAAAGACAGCAGTCTACCAGATTGTCTTGGCAGAGAAGGAGGAGGGAGTATGTATCACACAAGTGCTATTTCACCAGCCGCACACTGAAGCTCATTTAGAAAATTAGTGAGAATCATCCCAAAGGTTACAGTGTATGTTTTCCTTCAGTCAAAACTCAGATCTAGAAAAGAGTTTCATTTCCAAAGCAAACATCCAAAATCAGATTTTCAAATTAACTCTAGTACAGAGGTGGCTTGACATGCAGTGAGAGTGATATTCCCAGCTGAATTATGTTCTTTTTTCAAACACTGTTCATCTTTTAGAGAAACAAGCTTTGTCTTCAGATCATCAGGCAACAAACTGTTTGCCTTTTCCCTGTTGTGATGCTGTGCCAGCTTGTCAGTAATGTGTTTTTCAAATTCTACCTGCCTCTGTGAACCATTCCAAGCACAGTTTCAAGAAGGAAAGAGCAGTTGTGACTGGAGTCTGAAGATCAGTAGCTCAGGGAACACAGGATAAAGAAATGTGCATGATGTTGTGTAGAAACCCTGTATTCCCCTGCCACAGTTTTGTCCATTTACCACTCACTCACCTTTGTGAGACTGTTCTTATTTTGTCTCCATGAGAACAGCAGCAAAACTGGCATTAGAATTTGAAACACCGGAGTTTCAGTTTTCCCTTTAGATTCCCCTATGTATCTTTTCATTAAAGAAGAGCTCTCTAACGCTACACATTCCCCAAGCCATTTTAGATAGCAAAGCTTTTCTAAAAAGCATTCAAACAAAAGGAGTTCAGTGGGAAGCAAGAATACACTTGCTAAATATTTGTGTAATTAATGTAAAATCAGGGCACGCAAATTTGCTGACAAGCTGATTTAACTTCCAGCAGAGGATATAATCTCTATCAGCAGGGTATACCTACAGCAAAATTCATTTATATGAAACAAAATAACCATAGCTGATACTCAGTCAGAAATTTTGTACTTACTCAGACAAGCCTTTGTGTACTGAACTTACATTCTCTGGCACTAATGTTAATATTTAAAAGTGAATTAAATGCATGTTATTAGCTGAAAACGAAGAGATTATTGTGAAAAACAATGTGAAACAGCACAGTCCTTTTTCAGGTCCAAAACTACTTGCTTTGGATTGTAGACAAGAAAAAGCTAAATGAGAGAAAAATAGGGCTAGATGTGAAAACGGGGATTTTACTTCAAATATATTATTAAGCATTCATAGAAAGGAATGTTGCCAAAAAAGCACTCCGTGGAGTTCTCCGTTGCTACTGCGGTCTATAGCTTGTTTTCACCTTTTGTCTTTAAGGAGAATGCAGGAGGCCAAGAAGTTTATCTGTCAATTAATGCTGTTTGGCCTTTTAGCTTCAAGTGTGATTCATGCAATCCTATACCAGAAAAGTTACACTTAGTCCATATGATCTTAAGTGATTAGGGTGAACTCCTACTAACCCACTATATAAATGTATTTAAGAGTTGCCTATGAACTTTCTGTAGAGGATAGTTCTTTGCTCAGGTTTATATCTTGCCATCCTTCATAAAACCTAGGGTTTAATATGATCTGCTGTCCTGCAAGGGAGCTGAATTCAGACCTTTGAGGGCTGACAAAGTGAGCTGGAGTTGTACAGAGGTGCAGCCACATGACAGCTTCAGCTGGGGCTGCTTGGGGGACTTTAACCTCAGGCAGAAGGGGAAGGGAAACAGCAAGGGCCAGTGACCCTATAAACTGCTATAGCAAGGTTTGCCAAAGTCAATCTATCACATCCTCTAATGGCATTTACATTCCTTCAGCTAACACGTGCTGATTAGTGCGAGATTTAAAAACACTGTTTAAGCCTATTCCAAGCCTCAAACTATCACTATTTTAAGCTTTGTGCAGACCTCAGGGAAGTGACTCCTTATGCCCAGACACATTTTTAAACTTTTTTGCAACTCTTATAACCATTTTTTACATTCTTTTGGAAGTCTGAATTTATACAGTAACACATGGCTTCTGCAAATTTAAAAGATATCTAGAAAATAAGGCGGCTACATGCTTTAAAATACACATGGGACATGCAAAAGGGTAAGACTTAAGGAGAGGGATAAGCTGCTAAAAAGGTACTGCGCACCCATGCAATGTATGTGCAGCACTCCGTGGTAGCATCAACAGACCTAAGGGCTTGTGCTGCAAACAGTGTGACGACAGCCCAAATCCACATCTCAGTGTATGAACACTGAAGCTGCCTGCTGCTGAAGGAGAGGCTGTGAAACAGGTACATTCAACCTCAGAAGTTAGCACTGTGGTTGGAGTTAGGGTATGCATGGTCAGCCAATGAGCTACAGTTACTTCTGACAGCAGCAGGGACTGCTGGGCTAGATTGCAGTCTGGCATGCAGCCAGCACTGTCCAAGTTTCAGGATAGTGCTAAAAAGTGGATTGTGTTTAGGATCAGTCAGGAATGATCTGGTTAGCTAAGAACAGCTCTGAACTTTGCAGATGATGCAGTGCTTAGAATAGTTTAGATGATAGTAGCAATCACAAGGCAAAGTCTGGGATTTGGAATAGGGTTAATACATGACCCACGCAGCTCAGTTATAGCTTAGTAAATAAAGGGCCACTTGATCCTGGTTTAGGGGTGACTTCATTTGGATTTCCATTTGGCAGTGGTCATTGAATGCCTGAGACTATGATTAATATTTGGTTGAAGTTTTGGCCTTGTAAGAAGCTGGGTCTGAGAGCAGATGGGCACATTATGCCATGATAAGACCTACCATGTGGTTAGTGGGTCTAAGCTTCAAGTCCTTAATGGGCTATGACTAAAATTGAGATTAGGTTCGAGATTAGGTTCAACATCAAGGTTTGTCATAAAGAAGGCCGACAAACTATGCAAAGGCAAATAAGGAGCTGGCTAAATTTAACTTTTAATCTAAATTTGGGGCCCAACGGGAGTGATTAACTATAGATAGTCCAGTGTCTGGCAGGGGGTCCCAAGGGTAATGTAAGATTGGTGATAACAGGGCCCAGATGGCAATCCTTTATGCTTCTGTCTACAGGGATCACTTAACACTGCATAAATGTTAGATTTGGGTTACAAGCTGAACAGCTACGATACGATCTAGGCAATACCTTGGCTGGGTGGAGATTTGGCTTAAGATTTGATGCTTGCTCCAGCCTTCAAGCTGCTTTCAGGACTGGAGTCCAAAAAGCTTCAGACGAATGCTGATAAACTGGGGCTGCTCCTGGAAAGAGAAGGGCTGCTTGAGTAGCCTTGGTTTGTACTGCAAAGCCTTAGACTGTTAAAACCTGAAATGGGAGTACTGTTATGTCTTATACCAGTTCTACCTGTTGAGCCTGGAGAAGAGAAGGCTGCGTGGAGACCTCATAGCAGTCTTCCAGTATCTGAAGGGGGCCTACAAGGGTGCTGGGGAGGGACTCTTCACTAGGAACTGTAGTGACAGGACAAGATGTAATGAGTTTAAACTTAAATAGGAAAAGTTTAGGTTAGATATAAGGAAGAAGTTCTTTAATGTGAGCGTGGTGAGGCACTGGAACAGGTTGCCCAAAGAAGCTGTGAATGCTCCATCCCTGGAAGTGTTCACAAGGTCAGGTTGGATGGGGCTTGGGTGACACAGTTTAGTGTGAGGTGTCCCTGCCTATGGCAGAGGGCTGGAACTAGGTGATCTTAAGTTCCTTTGCAACCCAAATCATGTGATTATATGATTCTATGACTCTATGAAAAACAGTTTGGAGGCTGCTGCTCTAGAGCACTAGTTCACTTTGAGCATTATGTAGCTATTATCTCTGTACCGAATAAAGTACACGTAAAATCCTCTACTTTGGCCTGCATCTGTAGCATGAAAGAGAAATCCTATCAGGCAATATAAAAAACAGTATCTTTTTCCCTCTATAAAAATAAGCTAAATCTACTTCCAGCTGTGCCTGGTTGGGCAGTGCTTGCTCATCCTCCGTAATTAAGACACAGTGGAAGCTGAGGGCTGGATGTTTTGATGTGTGCTG